TCTTGGAGCCAGGAGAAACGACTCAGTGTTGCCAGCGGGTTTGCCGAATGGGGGGGTTTGGAGCAGAGAGAGAGGAAGGCGAAAATGAAAGAAAATGGACCAACCAGGTTTTCGACATTTTAGAATGTCTAGGTGGCAAATATGCCATGTGTCTGCTCACGTGGCTTGCCACATAGATCGTCCCGCAATTTTGTTTCATGAAAATCGTCTCCGGTATCATTATCCATAAATTATTACAGCCTTAAATAAGAAGTAGCTATGTTTCAATTTTCGCATTACTTAGCATTTTTAAGCAACGAGGGTTGATCAAGTGGTAATTGCTTGTTTCAGCTTAAGTCATGGTTTTAAAACCCGGCCCGGCCCGGTCGGTTGAACCGGTTGAACCGGACCCGGGCTTAAAAACGGGCCGGTTTCATGCATTGGCCCGTTTTGCAAGTTGGCCCGCGTTGGCCTCCGTTAGCCCGCCAGACCCGCTCCAAACTCCTAGCCCGTCCCACCCGCCGGGCCATCCCTCTGCCTCATCCCTGCTCCATCTCCGTGAGATCATCGGCATCTCACCACAGCAGCCACCACCTCATCACCTCCGGCAAAGCGGCCTGATCTCCCTGCTCCACTTCCATCAAGATCTCACCACCAGTCACAGCCTCATCTAGTCATCTCCTCTGCTGAACAGAAGCAACAAAGCTGCCCAACCGACTCTTGACGACCACATGAATCAAATGGCGGATCTCGTTCAGAAGCTCTCTTCGGAGCTGCGTTGGGGCCTCCAACCAGCCTACGACAATTTCATGGGATTCTTCCATGCAATCGATTGGAGTAGATAAGGATCAGGAAGCGAGCTTGAATGGAGAAAAATGGTAGAAAAAGAAAGAAGATAAGGCCAAGAAGGTGATGGTTTCAAAAAAAAAAAATTAAAAGATCTGATGAAAAAACCATAAGAAATTATGGAGAAACAAAGAAAACTCTCTGCAAATTGTAAAACCCAGAACAGAAGAAAGCAGCGAGAAAGAGAAGGAACCATCGACGAGCTCCAGATCTCAGCCACCTCCGTCGGCGGCAACACAACTCAGCGTCCAGCCGATCGTCCTCATCACTCATCTCCTCTGCCGAGCAACACAGTAAAACAGAACAAAATCAACAGATCATCCTCATCTGCCTCATCTCCTCCGTCGAGCACCTCCTCCTCCTCATCTCCTCCGTCAATCACGGCATCTTCATTTGCTTCATCTCCTCCGCCGAGCACCTCCTCCTCATCTCCTCCATCGATCATGGCATTCTCATCTGCCTCATCTCCTCCACCGCTCCTCTTCTTTTCCTGCCTCCGCAGAGCAGAAGCAGCAGCAGAAATCAGAATCTGCAACAGCTCATCGAACATATCGTCAAAAACTGAAAAAAGTGTGATTTTAGGTTGACCGGTTGGATCGGTCGGGTGAACCGGTTCAACCGGTTGAACCAGACCCGGTGGCCAAAACGGGTCAGCCACCGAGTCGGGTACAAAAACATTGGCTTAAGTAATATCTTGAGTTCGAGATCTTGTGTACGCAGCAACTCCCGTTGGGAGATTCATTCACTATTTTCAGGTGTGTGACGCGGGTTGGGTCCAAACTAATTGGGGTGAAGCTCCGGATATCGGGTAAAAAAAAAAAAAAAAACACACTTAACATTTTTAGTTTGAGTGAAATAAATTAACACCTCTCCTCCAAATTCAACATAACCTTAATTCATTTATGAAAAAAATGTTAGTGATACTTTTTTTTACTTTTTGTTTTCTATTAATATCTTGTGTCATTAATTTACATAATATATATTTTTTGATTTATTGAAAAAACATATGCGGCAACGAAGAGTCCAGAGAGAACGTTACACGTCTCTAAAATTGGGTTGTTGAGTCATTAAGTGGCAAAGAGGAACCCTGAACCTGAAATATCATCGAGTTAGCAGCCTAGAAAATTAAAGA